ACATTAATAGCATATTAAAACATATTATAAAATGATATCTAAAAACATTCATTTAAAAGCAATCATATACAATGACATTTTAAAAACACTCATTGAAAAGCAATGATATAAAATGACATTTAAAAACACTCATTTAAAAGCAATGATATAAAATGACATTTAAAAACACTCATTTAAAAGCAATGATATAAAATGACATTTAAAAACACTCATTTAAAATAGATGCATGAATAAAAGTTACAAGGCAGTGTGAGATACACCTGAAATGTTTTAGGTCTGACTCTCAATCATTGCTAACTTTTTAGCAGAAATAGTTTTCTATCACCTCCCTTTCTTTCCTCTTTCTTGTTTAACTTGTCCTTTAGAAAGACAAGTCCCATCTGCAAACTTGAAATACATATTCAGAAGATGTAGGTAGCATCAATGTCATTACCTTTTCTAGCTTAGACTGCAAAATATCGACACATTTAGCAGGCTTGTATTGTAACTACGTCCGACGCCAGGTCTGTTGGGTTTAGAAAATCTTAAATTTAAGTATCGAGTAGCTGAGCTACAATGCAAAGAGTCCCCTTTTCTGAACCAATAACAGGCTGTGATGGGAGCCAGGGCCTCTGACAGGTCACACTGCCTCTGTTCTCACTGCAGGAGAAACCACAGATGGATTTGGCCCGATGATGAAACTCTGGTATGTGGCAGCTGTATCATTTGGCATAACAATGCACCTTGTTCTGTTTGTCATTATAAGACAAGTTCTACCAATGAAAGCTTGGGAAGACTGCTGTGTGCTGCACTTTATCGGAAGTGGGGAGGTTGCGCCTGATGAACCTGATGACATTATTCTTCTCCTCCCCTTAGTGCTACAACTTAGTCGATGTACAAAATCTGCTTTGTATCCTCGCCTCCATTAAGTCAGGGTTTAAGAAGGGACCATAGAATCCATCTCGACTGAACTTCAATGAGACACATGGGAAGCTAGTTTTGAGCACACGCTATTATTGGAAAATCACCTGTATTAACATCATATTCCAACAAGAATCTGATGTACGTTGTTGGCTACATTGTTGTTAATGTGAACCTCTTCGTAAATTACTCATCAGTGCTATGGCGGCTACAGAAATACCGCAAGGAGATCGCATAGATTGTGATTGACTACCTGTGTTTCTTCCTATACTTTAAGTGTTATACCTGGGTGGCGATTGTTGAGAGTGAATGCAATATAAAGCAACGTCATTCAACTGCAAAAAGACATTAGAAGTTACTTGGATGTAGCTTCAGTTAACAAAAACACATTCTTTGGACGACACTAGAGGTAAATAGAGTAATATTTCCAAGCAATAGATATCACCATCGACCATAGTATTCACTTTGCAACTTTGCCAGTTGATTTCTTACATAAAGAATATACCACATATTTTTGGTATTACAATATAAAAATGCTATTTTAAATCTTTAAATGTGGCTCTATGCTAACCTTTAGTACATTTAGAAGAAATCTACAGAAGAACACATTTAGAAAAATAAACACCCAAATGTGTAATTTGGAGGTTTTCTTTTCACCATTCTTGAAAGGTGGGGTAGGTAAGTTTGAGAAACCGGCTCGAGATACACTTTTTGTTATATTCCATGGAATGCTCTTAACATCCTGATAGTAATGAATATCTTAAGTGCTTTGACAAAAAATCCATAAAGAAATGCCATCTGTGGAAGCCGTGGTACTGTCTGTCAGCCTTCCATCTGTGCACAAACTTATCTCGTGCCCTCATTGGTCATGTGCGCGTTCGTGTGTGTTGGAGGAGGGGCTCTGTGAGGAAGTGGCAGATTTTTTCTGGCTGTGTATTTTCAAATTCTAGCGCATTCGAGCTGGTTTCTCCAAAATTACCCACCTTTAAGTAGAAGGCAAAATAGCTTAAACTCAAATGTTAAAAGTGCATTTTTTCCCCTGTAGTGTCTCACCTTAACAGGGAAGATGTATTACAAGTAAAACACAACCTGATTTATTTTCATAATTCCACCTAATATTGAAGTGTTGCTATGAATGTTGTAAATCTTATGGTTATCAAACATATAACGTAGGTATATGACAGAAGAACCATTTGACTATAAATGCAGGCTGGCTACACACTTTTTAAAGCCACATTTAAAATGTATAGGGAATTGCCTGATGCTCAGAACATAGATTTCAAAGAACTATTCCTGTAACATGTCCATTTTAATCTTATATAACTCCATATGAACATCATTTAAGGCCTAAATCGCCCACCTTTCTGTATTAAAACAGTTAAAAAGTAAGTAAAAAGTTGAGTAAATTCAACAAAAACACAACAGATGGACTCAGAAATGTTTTTTCTCATTTCGTCCAATCAATGGCTGCGTACTGTTCTTCCCTAACACCTGCCATGAGACGGGCCCACCTATCAGAGCGAGGGGGTGATTATCATTAGTTTCTATCAGAGGAGCACGCTGTCATTTTATCTCAGAGCCAGACTTCCTCGGGCCTCTCCGGAGTTCCTGATATAGGCGTACAGTTAATGAGGGAAATACCCAAAGTTAAACCGAGCATGGAAGCCTGAGAGGGGCGAGAGGGAGGAGGGAGAGGCTGGCACGTGAGAGGAAAAGTATCAGGAGAAAGAGAGAGGGATGCCGGGAGGACGGAGAGGCGTCCCTGCTGTGGCTGTGAGGGTCTCTGGCATGATGATTTGGGACAGAAAACGAAAATCACATTGCCAGGGATTACTATACTGCTGCAGTGTCCTCATGCTTCTGGAGGAGGATACCTGGGATTTCATACAAAGAGAGTCACACTTTCTTCTTTTTTAATCACATTTTTGCAAGAGGAGTTCTTCACGGTGTGGATAACTCTGGGAGTACAATAATTTTTTCAGGCAAGATCAGCGGATCAGTGTTTTTGTGTGCTGTGTATCTGCTGTTTCTGATCAGGTGCAGAGCTTAGTCGACTGCTGGACAGGGAGTCTCAGCTATTTGTTCACAGTGGCTAAGTTCTTCACTTGTGCAGAGGTGATGTATGACAGAAAAGCGTATTACTCACTTTAATGTACATAATGTTTTCCAAAAATGTGAATGATTTTGAAAAGTCTCCCACAAAAAACTAAGGGAATCTGAAGATGTGCTCAAACTGTAAACAAGTAGGTTATTAGGTAGATAATTAAAGTCTGATCAAAAAGACCAAAACCAACAATGAATTTGTCCTAGTAGCAAAACAGTGTTCGTAGAAGTAAGTCAAAATAAACTACAGTGAGTGTGTGTTCATGGTAATGAAGGAGCAACAGTGTAGCTCCCTTACTGTATATGTTTTGTAATAGATAACATGAGCTCTATGGCACAGAGGAAGAAGATATGTAGGGTGTTACATTTGTGCAAGCCTGAAAATACTCCATAAGAAATACATGATTGTTTGAGTTTGAGTTGACCTGTTTGTGTAGTTTCTAAAAACTACACATCCTGGCTGTTATAGCACATTGGACTCTTTATATAAATGTATATTGGTGAAGGGTTAAATGGGAAAGGCATTGAGTGCTATTGACTGGGAAGGATAGTCACAGAAAATGGAGGTACAGATTCATAAATAGTTGGATTTGGTCTTTTTGGGGGGATTTGTTAACATAAAAAAACGTTATTCACAATTATTTATGTAATTATTAACACCATAACCAACATGCATTAACACAGCCATAATGATTGAACATTTAAAAAACAAGATACAATATTATTATTTTTTCTACTTTATTATTAATGAAACATTAGTTGAACGTAATTGATTTGTGTCAATGAAGGGACAAAAGATAACACATAAATTATCTTGGAGAAGAATAACATTTGCACCGGCATGCATTATCAGATGTAATCAGAAGTGTTGTGTTTCCTTCCCTGTGTTGTGCGGAATGACTGACCATTTGCAATGTTGCCAATTGAACTTGCAATTATATTTTAAATGGTTTTACTTTTCCTAAGAACAGATAAGATAATATCATCATATACATCAAAGTGTATTGGATATATAACAAGTGTCCAATGTTTAGTTGTGACAATGACAATAAAGGAAATGTGTTTTGCATGAGGGTTGAATTCCTGCCATGTCTTGTTTAATGTGCAGAATTTGACACTTCTCAGAGGCTTTGCACGGTGCCACCAGGGGCCACATGTGGATTACTCCCAGGAAACATCTGGCCTCCCTCTGGTGCCTTCTGAGCTGAGCGCAGTTAGATCTCACACATTGGCTCAGTTCAGCAGGAACCGGAGTCACGTCAACACACAACGTTTTGTCCTGAATGCCGAGCCAATGATCTGTGGTCACATTCAGGGAGGAAAAGTACAGGGATCATGTGGGATCTCATTTGGTTAGTTAGCATAATACTAGTTAAGTTAGCAAAATGTTTTTATTTTCTTCAAAAGTTCTCTAAGTACTTCTTTGTTTGGTAGATGTTGTCCATACAGTACTGTATTATATATTTCAGGTTAATATATCATAAGATTGTGAGCTCTCTAAGATAATTCACACTTAAAAGATTATCTAAACGTTATTCAAATAAATAAAATAATACAAAAACTAGATATTTTCCCACAAATTGCTCTTGCTATTTAACCTAAGACAATGTGTTTAAACAAAGACATATTTGAAGTAATTTATATACCAAACCTGGCCTAATATTCTCCTCTTGCTACAATAAATACAATGAATATTTTCTATCAAGAACATAGGCTATGTATAGTAGGCCTATGTATCGTACAAAATCAATGTTCAACATCACTCGAGGCGCTACATATAAGGCCATTTATATATCTCTACTAGGGGGTGTAAACTGGTTATTGTTTTTTTTTTTATTAATAAGGGAATCAATTTATGGAGGAAAAATATCAAAAAAAGGTAATGACGTAGTAATGATGTAGTACTAGTTTCCCTCCTGTAGAGGGCGGGCGTGTTCCTAAAGGGTGCCACACGAAGAAGAGAAGAAGAGAATGCGGAACAACAACAAGAACACTTCGGTAACGTGCTCGGTGCAGAAAATAAAGATTTAAATATACATTACAGCGTGAAGTTACTCACAAACATGTCCAATCTGGAGACTTTAGAGACTCAGATATGTGCTCTAATGGACACCGTGGTGGAGGAAGCGGTGGCGGAGCTCGGCAGACTCCTGGCCGCTCAGCAGTGCTCTTCCCCGGCTATAGTCTGTGCCGTGAAGAGCGAGGAGGAAGAGCGCGAGGTGACTCCGCGGGGGGGGAGACACCTGTGTGATAACACTATAACGGTAACACACACACTGGCTCAATACTACATACACTGTGTCTACTATATTCAAAATTCCTCAAATAATTCCACTTCAAATGCAGTTCGAGTTACATTTGCTAAAAACTACACGGCCCTGTCTGCACATAATTGTACTTGTTTTACGGACTTGTAACCGAGTATTCCTTTACTCTAGTATTTATACTTTAACTTCAGTACAGTGTCTGAGTACTTCTTCCACCTTTGCACCAATGTTATAAACATTCAACTTGGCGAACAATAAGTTAAATGTAACTAAGTACACGTACTCAGGTACTGTACTTAAATACTACTGTATTTTGTACTTATAATACTACAATAAATATAATATAATACTGTATGCTACTTAGTTCTTCTACTCTACATTGTTGAAGAAAAACAGTGTACTTTTACTGTACTACATTTCTATAACACTCATATTACCAGCTACTTTTTACATTTCAAAACACCTGACCTTTCTTAATATAATGATATATATATATGATTTAGTTCTATAACTAACTCCTCTCGTGGCTCTTCATTCTTTATATCTTGTAACTATACAGAACCAGTTTGCATCCCTCATGGAGGCACGGACCAGAGCTGCTGTAGAGAAGATCCTGACGCTGCTGAAAGTGTCTCTGTGTGAAGCGGCAGAGCAGAGGGCTGGGAGGAAGGACGAGAAGAAGCAGAAAAATAACAAGAAGCGGAAAGCAGGGCAAGTGGCTGCGCCCAAAAAGCGTGAGTCAGTTAACAGATTGAGTATCTGTGTAGAAGCTTTGTCTGTTCACGTTTTTGTACATAAAACAAGGTTTATGTTAGAGTTCTTTGTTACTAAAAGAAAGGGCAATGACCACATGTATAACAATGGTATTAAGCCAGATACTATTTCATATGGTTTCTTTAAATCCATATGAAATACTGACAAAAAGCACCTGCCCTCTCACTGACTGGGTGAAGACTGCTTCGTAGGGTCAGTATTAGTTGGACTTTGAATTCTATTAAAACTGAACCACTATAATTCTCCTCCCACAACAGACAAATATTGTATTTTTAAAGCTGAATGCCAACACATGTTTTGATTGAACCAGAGCATTTTGGAGATTATCACATCAAAGTCCCTTTAACCCTTGTGTTGTGTTCGAAAGCTGTTACCGTTCATGGAGTTCGCGGGTCAATTTTGACCCATGATTTATTTCAGTCCAAAACACACACAAAAAATGACTATCATCCAATATTGTTTTAACTACATCATAACTAACTTATTATGCATTCATAACCGTACAATCCTGTTGTAATTTAATGTTGTGGCCCAAAACACATTACCCCACATATTGCCCACGTGCATGTGTGAGTTCAGGTTCAAGTGTTAGTGTACATATTCTTTGAGAAAGGTCGAGTTCTCGTGGGGGGAGGGGGGGCAGAGCGATGGGAGACCAGGTGCATGTTGCAAACAATGATTGTTACAGTGGATGAAGGGGATGGGGTGTCTAAAGTCAAAGATGAATCTTGATTGGGCCAAATTTTATCCCAACACCAAATTATACACTTTTTTTTAGAGACTTTCAGCCTTGGCTAAAATGGTCAAAATCAGTTTTGTAGTGTTTATATAGCTGTTGTGGAGGATATCATGAAGCCTTGTTCCGAAAAAAAAAAACTAGAGAGTAGTTATTATATAATTTGAACTTGAAACGGATCACGGGAGACCCGAACACAACATAAGGGTTAAGAGGGATTGCATTGTTTACAGGAAATAACGTGATCTAAATTCATTCAGATACATCTAGTTTTACACAATCTTTTTGCCATTATTGCGTTCACTGTTTGGGTTAAATGTACAGTTCATCAGCTGTTCTGTACGGTTATTGCTATGCATTGAATATCACATGAGATATCCATAACATAAATCAGCTGCCTTCATTTTACTAACTGAAGGAACTGACCTAAGTTATCTAGTTTGATAACCGTTTCAGTTTTCTTTAAAGTCTTTTGTGGTAAAGTAAGCAGTTGTAGCAGTTAGTAAAGAGCTTGTAATTGATTTAAAAATTCTATTTTACAATTGTGAAACATATTTCCTTCTCTTACAAACAATTTGTTTTCTAAATGACCAAAAGCACTTTGTGTACATTAGATTGGATCGTTTAAATTGATGTCTTTTTATTTTTTGCAGCAGATTCAGACACACATGAGAGTAACTCTGGGACCCCGTCTGAACCTGGAGCAGCCTCCGAGCCGGAGGTAACAGAGCAAGAGGTAACAGAGCAAGAGGTAACAGAGCAAGAGGTAACACAGCCGGAGGTAACAGAGCAAGAGGTAACAGAGCAAGAGGTAACAGAGCAAGAGGTAACAGAGCCGGAGGTAACAGAGCAAGAGGTAACACAGCCGGAGGTAACAGAGCAAGACGTCGTCCAGGAAGATACCGGCCCTTCAACTATCAAACCCACCAAGAAGAGCACAGGGCCTTTCAAATGTCCTTCTTGTGACAAACAATTCCGTCTGAAGTGTTGGATGGACCGTCACTACCGGACTCACTCCAAACCTCACCTTTGCTCCGAGTGCGGCAAGGGATTCGCCGACCAAAGGATGCTCATCGCACACTCGAGAAAACACACCGGAGAAAAGCCTTACGAATGTTCAGACTGCGGGACTGAGTTCGCTTACAAAAGCACCTTCAAAAGACACATGCTTAACCACAGCCTGAAGGAGCACAGCCTGAAGGAGACGAGCTTCCACACGTGCTCGCTGTGTGAAAAGCAGTTTGAGGGGCTCGTGACGTTTCAGCGGCACAGGTGCTGCGCCTTGAAAAAGACGTTCAACTGCTCGCTTTGCCTGGAGACGTTTACGTGCAGCCAGAGTTTGGTCGATCACGAGCAGCTGCATCCAGGCGCCAGATATTACGTGTGCGAGGTTTGCGGCGAGCGTTTCTTCTCCACCTCGTCTCTGGCCACACACCGGGTGACTCATGCGGAAAGGAGAAAATGCTGCGAGGAGCTCGGCCTAGGAACCAGCGACCCGAGCGTCCTGAAGAATCACCTGAGCAAACACACCGGAGAAAAGCTCTTCTCCTGCCAGGTGTGCGGTAAAGGCTGCAGTCACCAGTGCGCCCTGAATCACCACATGCTAACACACACTGGGGACAAACCGTATGTCTGCGAGACCTGCGGGAAACGCTGCGGCCACTCCAGTGCGCTCGTGAACCACATGAGGGTCCACACGGGGAAGAAACCAGGGAAGCCTGTGTGTAATATCTGCGGCAAAACATTCGTCCGCTCGGTCAAACTGAAGTACCACATGAGCGTTCACACGGGGGAGAAGCCTTACGCCTGCGACCTGTGTGATAAAAAGTTCAGCAACCCCAGCAATCTCAAGACACACATGAATATTCACTCGGGAGAGAAACCGTACGGCTGCAACATCTGCGGCAAGAGGTTCGCTCAATCCGTAGGCCTCAAGCTGCACTGGCGGGTGCACACAGGAGAGGAGCCGTACTGCTGCTCAACCTGCGGGCAACGATTCATGTTCAGCGGCAATTTCAGGAAACACGAGAGGGCTCACCTGCAAAAAGAGCCAGGAGATGGACAGTCTGAAAAAACTACAGTGTAAATATGAAAAATGTCATTGCTGAATATTAAAGGGGCCCCATTATGCTCTTTTTCAGGTTTACATTTGTGTTTGGTGCCTAGTCTACTGTGACATGTTTCCAGATTTAATGGTTCAAAAAATGTATTCGTCAATAGTATCAGAATTCCGGAAATACACTTATCTGCTTTCTTGCAGAGTTAGACGAGAGGAGCAAAACCACTCTTGTTTCTCTACAGTAAATATGATGTTACAGCCAGCAGCTACTTACATTAGCAAAAAGTCTGGAAACAGGAAAACATCTATCTTCGCTCTGTCCAAAAGGAACATTATTTTGTACAGACAATATACAACAAGTTCATGCTTACCAAAAAAGTTGTTTTTTTACATACGGAGAGGCTTAGTGGTCATATTTTTAATAAGATAGGATCATGTCTGCTAGCTCCAACCTCCTTTTTAACAGAGATAAAGCAAGAAAGTGGATTATCTTGTTTTTTCTCAAGATGTCAAAACTTGTTGTCATGGATATTGGAGCAGATGGACCCAAACACAGGAGTCAGGTCCAACAACAGGATACTTGAATAGAATAACTTGTTATGCATGGTCTGTGCTGGCAGGACCAAGCAGAACCAAACCAAAGACTGAACAGAACCAAACCAAGAAGAGTTGAAGGGCAGGTGGAGAGATGGGTGGAGATTAAGCTCAGGTGGGAGGATGAGGTGATTAGTCAGGAGAGCAGGGAAGGAGCTGATTGGCTGGGAGAAAACTAGGAGCAGGAAACGAGGCTGATTCACAGCAGGTGTGTGAGGGAAAACACAGCAAACAGATCAAATAATTTAGACAAAAAGGCAAAGCTTAGACCTTCATTATCTGACAGAAAAATATGTTTTTAATACAAATTATTTCTGATGCAATGATGTTCAATTTAATGAAAATACATATCTTGAAAAATGTTTTTTATTGACATTAAACTGAGCTCAATAAAAACGTTTTTTTTAAATGTGACATACGATACGATAATACTTTATTTGTCAGATCAAGTCTGAAATTTGACTTGCGTCACAGCAGCTCCATGTCCAACATCAACAGACAAATATCCAGACAAAAATACATGAAACAACAAACATTTAACATAACAGCAGGATCAGTGAGAGAAAAGCTGCTCAAAGAGCCTTCAGCGTGCATTTGATCTGGGATCAGCTCTGTATTTACTGTGAGGATTGACTGATGCACAAAGGAGTGCTTCAGTCTGACTTTATTGAATCGTGGGACCCTGTATCTCCGATTAGATGGTAGCAGTTCATATAGTGACCAGAAAAATCCCAGTAAATCAGGCGTTTCTTAAAATACTCATACCAAAAGACTTTGCACCCCAGCCCTCTACATATAAGATTAACCATTAACTTCTAGAGACTCATGTATATGTACTGATAAGAATGATACAGTTTGGTCCATCAGACATTGTTTATTCAGTGTGCATTCAGACAAATCTAAACAGAGAAACGATTGTGTTCTGTAGGTCATCCACTAGGTGGTGCTAGAGGATAATTTTACCCAAAATTGCACTGTTAAGTCACTACACATACTGCAACAGGAGGACACATTGGAGCTATACACTATCAACAGGTCTGCATCCTGACAGTTTAAACCCTATATTTTGACATAATGTTAACAAAATCCTCCGAATAAATTGAAAGAAATCTTTGAGATTCTGAAAAGGACGTCACTTTATTCAACTACTATTAAAGATTTGAAGGGAGAAATGTTTTGAGTTATCTGACATTTTAACATTTCATCTTGTGTTTTTGATTCAATCAACCAGTTACCTTTTACACTCAGAAATATATATCACTGAACAAAAAAAACTCTTTCCCCAGCTTTTTTAGTCCACAGTAAAGGCAACAAAGACACATTTAAAAAAAAAAAATCACATCACAACAAACCCAAAAACAGGGACAGCAATTTAAGCGATTGTAAAAATCAAACAAGTACAATCACTTATAAATAGGACTTTGTAAGAACCTTGGAAACTGGATTGGATGTGATCGATAGTCATTACGTGTTTCTCTCTAAAAAGTTGCTGCATGAAAAATAAATGAAATGTTACCTTAGCTCTAACATGACTTCACCTGGCTCAGTGAAAAGCTCCGTGGTGACAGTGGCTGCATCAGCAACGCCAACGGTTTCCCTGCATGGCGTCCTCTCTAAGCAGCTTACACACATCTAATACCAGTTTATTGCATTTAGTATAACCTTTAGTGCAACGCTGCTTAATGCTGCTAAGAATTCAGTGTTTTCATGGAGATTAAACTCATATACACACACACACACACACACACACACACACACACACACACACACACACACACACACACACATACACCCCTAAAGTCCTCATGTAGGTTATTATAAAGGTTAAAGAAGTTAAAAAAACAACATGTCAAAACAAGATTGCTCTGTAAACTTCCATTCAATAAAATAAGTATCCAATAAAATATAGTAGAATAAATGTGCTTCCTTTGATTTTCTCTTAAATGTAATTTTAGAATATAAGGGGTTGTGAGTTTAGAAGACTCCTCGGTAATCCGTGCTTGTTGTGTTTTTAATGGAGTGTCATGCTACAACTAGTTAGCCTAATAGTCACATCAGCAACAGTTGCTATGCAAAGCGGATCAACATGTTGTGAATCTAGTATGAGAATCACGATGCAACAACTCCTAACCAAAATTAAATTGGCTAGAGTTCAGTCCAATTCTGGTTTATCCTCTGCGCTTTGATTGCATCATTTTCGGTTGAAGCTATAATCCACCTGCTCAACACAAACCGGCAGTCAGACATTTTCTTGCAACCAGCCAATGAAGATAGAGGAGCATTTAGCAGCTAAAGAGCCAGATATTTGTCATCAGGAGTTAGTGGAGACCAAAAACAAAGCTAAAAAGAGAGCTGAATATTGGACTCACTTGCAAGGTAGCCAAACAAAAGGAGACTCCACATGAATTTCTTTGTTGGAAGTGTAATAAAGCAACTGTTTGCAAACAGGTTTGCTATAAAACGGGTGATAGCTATAGTGTATGTATGTTATGTTTCTGTTCAAACTTAGTCTTTACTGGCCCCAATGTGGCCGTTTTTATTACAGGTTAAGATTACAAATATTAAGGTTGTAAGATACTTAAAGGAAAATATCACAAAACCTTTCAGAGCATCAGTAATGGTATCAAAACATTTTAAAAAGCGCGAGAGAGAGAGAGAGAGAGATATAAAGAGAGAGAGAGAGAGAGCACATATGGCAGCCCAATATGTATGCACATGCTACAACCTGAGGGACAGTGAATGAGACACACACAATCACGCACACACGCACACACACACACACACGCACACACACACACACACACACACACACACACACACACACACACACACACACACACACACACACACACACACACACACACACACACACACACACACACACACGTGTTGAAGTGTAATTGTATCACTGTATGTATATATATATATATAATATGTAAAAATGTGAAATGTATGTTAATGTTGTTAATTATTTTGTATTTTGATGCTTTGGCAACATTGTTTCATTTAACTTTCATGCCAATAAAGCCCAATTGAATTGAATTGAATTGATGGAGAGATAGATACACTGAACAAAAATATAAATGCAACACTTTTGTTTTTGCTCCCATTTTTCATGAGATGAACTCAAAGATCTAAAACATTTTCTATTTACACAAAATAACCATTTCTCTCAAATATTGTTCACAAATCTGAAAAAATCTGTGATAGTGAGCACTTCTCCTTTGCCGAGATAATCCATCCCACCTCACAGGTGTGGCATATCAAGATGCTGATTAGACAGCATGATTATTGCACAGGTGTGCCTTAGGCTGGCCACAATAAAAGGCCACTCTCAAAATGTTCAGTTTTATCACACAGCACAATGCCACAGATGTCGCAAGTTTTGAGGGAGCGTGCAATTGGCATGCTGACAGCAGGAATGTCCACCAGAGATGTTGCCCGTGAATTGAATGTTCATTTCTCTACCATAAGCCGTCTCCAAAGGCGTTTCAGAGAATTTGGCAGTACATCCAACCAGCCTCACAACCGCAGACCACGTGTAACCACACCAGCCCAGGACCTCCACATCCAGCATGTTCACCTCCAAGATCGTCTGAGACCAGCCACTCGGACAGCTGCTGCAACAATCGGTTTGCATAACCAAAGAATTTCTGCACAAACTGTCAGAAACCGTCTCAGGGAAGCTCATCTGCATGCTCGTCGTCCTCATCGGGGTCTCGACCTGACTCCGGTTCGTCGTCGTAACCGACTTGAGTGGGCAAATGCTCACATTCGATGGCGTCTGGCATGTTAGAGAGGTGTTCCCTTCATGGATGAATCCCGGTTTTCACTGTTCAGGGCAGATGGCAGACAGCGTGTGTGGCGTCGTGTGGGTGAGCGGTTTTCTGATGTCAATGTTGTGAATCGAGTGGCCCATGGTGGTGGTGGGGTTATGGTATGGGCAGGCGTATGTTATGGACGACGAACACAGGTGCATTTTATTGATGGCATTGTGAATGCACAGAGATACCGTGACGAGATCCTGAGGCCCATTGTTGTGCCATTCATCCACAACCATCACCGCATGTTGCAGCATGATAATGCATGGCCCCATGTTGCAAGGATCTGTACACAATTCCTGGAGGCTGAAAACATCCCAGTTCTTGCATGGCCAGCATACTCACCGGACATGTCACCCATTGAGCATGTTTGGGATGCTCTGGATCGGCGTATACGACAGCGTGTTCCAGTTCCTGCCAATATCCAGCAACTTCGCACAGCCATTGAAGAGGAGTGGACCAACATTCCACAGGCCACAATCAACAACCTGATCAACTCTATGCGAAGGAGATGTGTTGCACTGCGTGAGGCAAATGGTGGTCACACCAGATACTGACTGGTTTTCGGACCTCCCCAATAAAGCAAAACTGCACGTTTCAGAGTGGCCTTTTATTGTGGCCAGCCTAAGGCACACCTGTGCAATAATCATGCTGTCTAATCAGCATCTTGATATGCCACACCTGTGAGGTGGGATGGATTATCTCGGCAAAGGAGAAGTGCTCACTATTACAGATTTGTTCAGATTTGTGAACAATATTTGAGAGAAATGGTTATTTTGTGTATATAGAAAATGTTTTAGATCTTTGAGTTCATCTCATGAAAATTGGGAGCAAAAACAAAAGTGTTGCATTTATATTTTTGTTCAGTGTAGATAGATAGATAGATAGATAGATAGATGGATAGGTACTTTATTGATCCCAATTTGGGAAATGTTAAGACACTTGGCTACCATGTTCCAAGGGGGCTCCATATTTACAAGATGAAATTAATCACCATGTATATTTATAATCACCATGCATGGGTAAAGCCATGATTTACATTTTATTTTTAAGGTACAATCGACCATATTGCACCATTGATCTGTTTGAATGCAGACATGAGTTATTGCTTCACTTCATTTTCTGAATCGTCAGCAGGTACGGACGGACGGACCTTATGGTCGCTGCCTGCCAGATTTACCTCCAGCAGCTTTCATTTCTCGTCCAGCATGGCTCCCTGCATGTTGTCTAACTGTGATTAATGGAAGACAGTTTCAGGGGTCACTACCCTGATGGTCAGCTGGAGCCGTGCTGTGACAGAGTGTCTCTGACTACAGAGTGATAAACTGTGGAGACAGAGAAAAGGCAATCAGCATGCAGAGGTGCTTTCCTCACCATCACTCGATCCAAGGTCCAGACGTGGCCACGCAGGTAATCATACATTCACTGTCAGAGCCCCTGTACCACGGAGGGTCCTCTCTGTGGAGATCAGGGGAGAACATTCTGTTTTCTTTTTCTTTTAAGCCTATAATATATACTCTTATATAGTTGTGTAGCCTTCCTATATGCTATCAGAATTAGAAACGGGTTTATTACCAGGTTGACACGTATGAGGAATTTTACTTTTAATGTTTATTTTATTGTCTTTACTTTTCTTAATGTTTTTCATTTTTGTAGAGCACTTTGAATTACC